TATATAATATTTTTTCCCTGATTAATAAGAAAACAGCTTTCAATTGCCTGCTAGGCAGCTTCCAGTTTAAGGTCATGCCATTTGGGCTACAGGGAGCCCCTGCAGTATTCATACAATTCATTAATGAGGTGCTACATGAGCACCTCCACAAAGGAGTTTTGGTTTATAAGGACGACATTCTCATCTTTAATGAGACAATGGAGGAACAAATCAGACTAGGATGATGACAGGTCTTGAAAAAACTTATTGATGCTAAACTTTATGCTAAACTGTCAAAGTGCGAGTTCCACAAGACTTCCCTAGACTACCTGGGCTACCAGATGTCCAATGAGGGGATTGAAATGGAAGCAGGAAAAGTTAAAGCGGTACTAGACTGGCAATCCCTTGCACCCGAAAACAGCTTCAGAGCTTCCTAGGGTTTGCTAATTTTTACCGTCAGTTCATTTCTGCCACTTAATTCCTACTGTCATAGATCTGCCACTTACGGAACTATTGAAGACTAGAGGAACAGATCCTAAACCCAAGCCCAGCCAGCCTTTGACCTGGACCTTTACTGCCAATGAGCGTTTGAGGAACTAAAAGGACTGTTCTCCAAGGAGCCAATCCTTCTGACCTTGATTGACCCTTTGTGGTGCAAGCAGATGCCAGCAATGTCGCGGTAGCTGCGGTGCTCCTACAAGAAAACTCTTTGGGCCAACTGCAGCCCTGTGCCTAGGTGTCAAAAAAACTCAAAGACACAGAGCATCGATGGGCCATATGGGAGAAGGAGGCCTTCACTGTCAGATGGGCCCTCGTCTCTTGGACACACTTCTTGGAAGGTAGCAATGTCCCCTTTGAAATCTGGAGTGACCACAAGAACCTCAAGACACTAAAGATCCTAGGAGGCTATCCCCTAAAGAAATCCAGTAGGCGTAATACTTTAAGCAGTTCAACTTTGAACTGAAACATATCCCAGGAGAGAAAAACAGGTTAGCTGACACTTTATCAAGGAAATCCCAGTTAAACAGATGAGGGGAGGAAATAATACATGCTGTCATACTTCCTTCACAACCAGCTGCTCAAGTCACCACCAGGAGCCAAGCGCTGAGTCAAGATGACCAAAAGGGGGATGCGATTACCACAGCACTTAAGTTCACACTCCCTGCGGATCCATGGTTTAAGGACAACGCAAACACGCTAACCCTACAAGATGGATTAGCATGGAAAGGGTCTAAACTGTATGTCCCAATCAGCCTAAGGCTACAGATACTGCAGCACAGTCATGACTCTCAGCTGGCTAGTCACTTTGGAGTTTTAAAAACCCTCCACTTAGCAAGGAAGTAATTTTGGTGGCCAAAAATGAAAACAGATGTGGAAGACTATGTAAAAAGCTGTTCCACCTGTACAGCCTAGAACAGGGGTGGGCAAACTATGGCCGGCGGGCCACATCCGGCCCGTTGGTCATTTTAATATGGCCCGCCTCTGAAAAAAAATTGGGGCTGGCCAAAAGAGACCCCGCGCCGCGCGCCATAAAATCGCACACACAACACGGAGCTGGGCAGCCACTTCCCTGGTGGTGGGGCCAAGGTCGCCGCCCAGGGAACATCCACTGCTTTCCCTCTGCCCGGGCTCCACTCAGGTGTCCGGCTGGGGCTGTCAGGAGTTGCTACCGCAGGCGCAGCTCCGCGCGGCTCCAGTCCTGCGTTGCCTTGGGAAGGGAAAGGCAAAACCAGGAGCCGCTGAGCCTGAGCCTCTGGTGCCACTGCTGCCGTTGCAAAGTGCCACTGCAGCTCTTCCTTTTTGCCTTTCCCTTCCCAAGGCAACGCGGGACTGGAGCCACGTGGAGCTGCACCGGTGATAGCAACTCCTGACTCAGGGGGCCTCCGAGGGGAGGGGAAGGAGGAGAAGAGGGAGGGGAAGGGGGGGGCAATTCCCAAAAAATCTTGTGCAGACCCGGCCCGTCTGTCAAATTTTAAAAGTCAATGTGGCCCCCGAGCCAAAAAGTTTGCCCACCCCTGGCCTAGAAAATGAGGCCAGGAAAACTGCTTGATCTACTACAACCAGTAGCCGAACCTAAATGACCATAGGAAATGATAGCTATGGACTTCATAGTTGAGCTTCCAGAGAGTGAGGAAAACTCCATCATTTGGACAGTAGTAGATCTATTCTCTAAGCAAGATCATTTCACTGCTTGCCCAGGATTATCCTCAGCTAAAAAACTGGCAAGAATGTTCATCAAGCAAATTTAGAGACTGCATGGAGTGCCTCGCTGGGTCATTTCCAACCGGGCAGTCCAATTTATAGCAAAGTTCTGGAGGGAGTTCATACAATCCATAGGATCCTCTCAAGGATTGAGCTCTGCTTTTCATCTGAGCACAAACAAGGCTACAGAACGAACAAATGCTATGGTAGAGCAGTACCAGAGATGTGGCATCAACTATCAAGACAATTGGGTGGATCTGCTACTGTTCACGAAAGTGGCATACATCAACACAGTCCCATGCACGGGACTGATTCCTTTCCAAATCGGGATGGATTTTGTGCATATGCCTGAGTTGCCTAGAGAGCCTCCATCCTCAATGACCCTTACCGAATGGATGGACTCACTAAAGCAGGGGTTTGAGAATACCAAACACACCCTCACCTTCGAGAGATACAAATGTAAGGCACAGATCACTTCAGTCCCCTTTTAAAGTGGGAGACTGGGTTTACCTGCCCACTAAATAAGGTTAAGGTTACCCACCAAAAAGCTAGGTCCAAAATTCTTAGGGCCGTTCCCTATTGTGAAAGTAATAAATACAGTAACGGTGCAGCTAAGCCTTCCCTGCTTATTAGGAAAATACATCCTGTGTTTCATAGCAGCTTGTTAGAGCTAGCCACTAGCTCCCAAATAAAACCAAGGGATCAACCTGCTCCTGAGCCAATTGTGGTGCAAGGGGAAACCCATTATGAAGTGAAGAAAATATTGGATTTTAGATTGCATAGGGATCGTTTACAGTATCTAATACATTGGAAGGGGTACCCTTTGTCTGAAGACCCTTGGGTGAAAAACTGGAATGTGAATAGGTTGGTGGATGAGTTTCATGAGAAATTCCCTGATAAGCCAAAGCCCCCCCCCGCCCCCCCGGGGGGGAGGGAGAGTGGTGGTTAGATTGTTAACCCCTAACCTCCTGTTACTCGTCTCATTTCAGGACATTCTCATCGCTTGAGGGGAGGTAGCCTGTCAGCCGTGGATCCATCTTGAGACAGACTAAACAGGGCTGCCACAGCAGGGGATGGGAGAGCTGTGGGAAAGGGAACGTAGTGAAGGGAGTATAGCCATAACAACATATTTTCACATGAGATCATGGATGAGGTGCTGGCACCTGGAGGGGAGAGACCGAGTTTGGTGGCAGCAGAGAATGCAGAGAATCATGATGTGCATGTCATTGAACAGGGCAGGGTGTGAGTTTAGTGTGGATGGGGGGAAACGTGGGATCCTTCAGATTCGGGTTTTCTCCAGATGTGCCAGGATGACTTTTCTAATAGATTCTGCTTTGATGGACTTTGTCTTGGAGTTCTGAATTGTCTTGAGAGTTTCCTTGGAAGGCTGACATTTGGTTTTCTTCTTTTATTTCTTCCATCTTTTTTTCCATTTCTTCTGTTTTATATTCCATTTTCTGAATTCTTTGTTCATTCTTTGGAACCCTTTGTTGAAAATTTTGTAGCTGGGAATTTATGTTAAGGACCTGTTCATTTATCTTGTCTATTTTTTTCCTTACATCTTGTATTGATTACTTTTTATCTCACTTTTTATCTCATCATGATTCTTTCTTATATCTTCTTTTTGTGAGGCAATTGCTTCCAGAATCATCTGTAATGTTGTCTGCATTTCATTTTGAAAATTGTTAGATTTTTCTTGCTGAAACATTAAATCTAACTATCTTTGGTGTATAGGACTAGGAGCCCCAGAGGAAGCTGCTGAAGAGGAGGGCTTTTTATCAATTTTAGTGAGATTTGAGGCACTCATTTTTATTTCCCCCAAGCAGATGTTCAGTTCTTCAGCTAATAACTAGTAATATGTTGATGTTGTCCAATATTGCCAAAATTATTCAAATTATCAAAAAGCGGTTTAAATTGCCGAACTTTTAAATAACAGTTTAAATCTTACAGCTTTTAAATATACAGTTTATACTCTTTCCTTTGTCTATAGGCTTTATAATCTAACGTTCCAATAATCCAGTATTTGAATCTACCAAAGGAAAGTAAGGATTTTAATCCACCTCTCTCAATCAGAGTTTGCAGTTCAACTGATGTTTGTAATCCAAACTCTGAGACATGTATAACCTGCTTGTCTTCTCCAATCAATAAATCCAAGTCAATTGATGTTTGTAATCCACAATAGCCCATTGGCTTTAACTAGTCCAAACAATAAATCCTACCAAATAATAAACAGTGAAATGCCTTATTCTCTCTATTTACCAGCTGTGTCTTATTCAGCTGATAAATTCTCAGCTTCAAGGTCACCAGTAGTTATTTATGTCTGGGCATAAAGCCACATCTTCTGCTTACATGTAAGACATTCAACAATTTTCTCTTCTTTGTCACAAGGTACGACTCTCCCTTGATTAATTCTTCAGGAATCCTTAACACATGTTTATTGAAGCATCCCTCTGATTATGTGAGCAAAATTTGTGTGCTTGGCAACCAGCATAAATGTATGATAGTTGCAGCATCCCACATTCACTTGGGGACTTCTGATAAGCAGTCAGTGGGAGTAATTTGCTTAATGACTACAGCAGCAAAAGTAAAAATAATGTATGACTCACTTAATGATCACAATGCTTTGCAACTTAATGATTGCATTACTTAGCAACAGATGTTCCAATCCCAATTATCATCATAAGTCAATGAATACAATCATCTCTGATGTCCTATGATATAACTCAAAATGCATAAAACTTATGATCATGTCTGCATTTTAATGACCAGTGATTGCCTAAACTGCCTCTGTTCTGTTTCCTATTTTTGAATCTTTTTAGAACTTAGAGGGCTGTTCTTCATTACAACAGAAACAAAAGATAGCATTTCTTGATGTACAGAATGCTCTTTTCTTCACTCAGTTGGAAATGCAGCAATTGAAATATGCCACGCAGCAAAAGGATCGGCAGTTGGCTGAAGCTAAAAGGACCAACCACTTTCTAGAGACAGCATTGCAAGAAGAACAGCTACAAAAAGAAGCAGCTTGGAGATATAATAAGGTATGATTTTTGACCAATTAACTTTAGCAATAAACAGGGAAAGAAGAAGGATAAAGCAGGAGAATTCATTAGGTTTGTCAGTATTGATTGTGGAAGTGCTTTAAAAGCTTTAGGAGCCCTAATATGACAGTGGTCCACCCACCCATTCTGGGATTGTGGGAAATCCTTCTAGGCCGCTAAATATTGAAAGTTTCCCCTATGCTTATGGGAATCCAGAATCTCGGATTTCAAAATGCTGTTCCCCTTCTATCATTAATGGCTCAGGGAGTGGTGGAAGCTTAGATCTTGTGCTTCTGCCAGGGCTTTCCTCACCACCAGCCATATATTTCACAGTTGGGATACCCACTCCTTTAACAAAGAAACGGGGGGTGGGAGGGTCATTGAGGGGTAATTCAGGCATTGGATGAACTTCTGTCTTGTGGCCATGCTAAAAAGAGTAAATCCCATGCTACTATGCACATAATTATTATACGCCATTTCAGCAAAAGGCAGTAAATCAGTCCAGTTATCTTGTTGATAGATTAGATTAGATTAGATTAGGTTAACAGAGGTTGAAGGGAACAATGGGCCATGAGAAAATTTTGGTGGTCCACAGAGAAATGTCACCCCCAGAGCACCCCCCCAAAGCAATTAATCCAGGCTGCACAGCCACCCACATGGCCCGCGGGAACCCTCCCCGCCCATTCACTCCTTACCTGGCAAATTTGCTTTTTCCTGACCATCAGCTGTTCTGCTGTGTCGGGAGATTTAGATTAGCTAGAAAGCAGGAAATCATTGGATTTCTTGCTTTATAGATAGTCTTTAGATCTTCCTTAAGACTGAAGCTTCTATTATTCAGTGCAGACTCACTGCAAGCAAATTTTATGTGACAGACTCAGGTAGCCAATGGCAGATAGATAAATCTCTGAATGATTCTGTGAGCAAACCAATCTGCCTGCCTGCTTTGCCTGATTTTGGGTAAAAGTTGTTCTTTTTTAATAAAAAATTCAATATTTATATACATGGTGTGTTGTGAGTTAATTTTGTGAGTTTGCTTACTAGCAAATTTTATGAGTTTGCTTGCCAGCAAATTTTATGTGACAGACTCAAGTAGTCGATGGCAGATAGATAGATCTCCGAATGAATCTGTGAGCAACTCAATCTGCCTGCCTGCTTTGCCTGATTTGGGGTAAAAGTTGATTTTTTAAATAAAAAAATCAATATTTACATCAATATTTATAAGCCATGCCCACCCAGTCACATGACCACCAAATTAGGCCACACCCACAGAACCGGTTGTTAAGAAATTTGAATCCCACCCCTGCCTCTGTGTGTTTGTGTGTGTGCGAGAGAGACAGAGACAGAGAGAGAGAGAGAAATTAGATCAGATCTCTCTCTCTCTCTCTCTCCCACCAAAGTCAGCAAGCCACTGTCATTCAAAATTCATATTAGTGGTCCCCGGGATTTAAAATTATGAGTTTGGTGGTCCCTGAGCTCCAAAAGGCTGGTGACCCCTGATCTAGTCCAATCCCTCACCCAAGCAGACTCTACACCATTTTTGACAGATGGCAGTCTAGTCTGTTTTTGAAAGCTTCCAGTAATGAAGCTCACACAACTTCCAAAGGCAAACTGTTCCACTGGTTGATTGCTCTCACTGTGAGAAAATTTCTCCTTATTTCCAGGTTGAATCTCTCCTTGATCAGTTCACTAGACTAGCCATGCCCAATTCCTGCAACTGTTCATCATATGTTTTAGCCTCCTCTTGGTTGCTCTTCTTTGCACTCTTTTTAGAGTTTCAACATCTTTTTTATAGTGTGGTGACCAAAACAACAGGCAGTACTCTAGGTGTGGTCTAATGCTTTGTAGAGTGGTAATAGTACCTCACTTAATCTTGATTGTATTAATGCAACTTAGGATTTCATTGGCTTTTTTGGCTGCCACCGCACACTGTTGGCTCATATTTAATTGGTTGTCCACTAAGACTCCAAGATCTCTCTCACTGTTAGTGCTATTAAGTTTGGTTTGCAGCCAGTCTATATTTGTACTTTTGGTTTTTCTTGCTTAAATGTAAGACTTTAGTTTTCTCTACATTGAATTTCATTTTGTTAGATAGGACCCAGTGTTCAAGTCTGTCAAGATCCATCTAGATCTTGAGCCTATCATCTAGGGCAGTGTTGGCAAACCTTTTTGGCACTGCGTACCAAAATGAAAGTGTGCGCAAGCCCATGTGCCGGAAACCAGAAGAGCACCCAGTTTCCAGCGCGCACCCCATCCACCTGGTCTCCATGTGTGAGGAGCTGCACTCTCCTCCAGCCCTTCTGGGGCAGTGTGAGAACCATCACCGCCCCCTCCCCCCAGCAGTGACAGGAGCCAGCCAGGTACTCCAGACTGCAGATGAACCCCACTTTGCAAAGCACAGTTCAGGCATCCCTCATACCATGTAGTTCCTGGCTCAGCGGTAGTGGCGGCTGGTGGGCCCCTGGTTCAGCTGGCTGGCTCAGCGCGGCTCGGTTCTTTCCCCAGTGCCGAATGGCCCGCCTTTCCACCAGTAGTGCGTGAGGTGGGTGGCAAGGGGTAGCTTGGTTTCCCAGGGTTGTCAGGTGGCTCAGATCAACCCAGCCTCCTTTGCCCATTTCAGCTCAGTCCAGGGTGCAGGAGGAAGCATAAGGAGCTTGGGGGTGGGTGAAGGGATGTGCGCTAATTAACCCATGAGGCACCGACAGCGCACCTTGGAGCAGTGGCACCCAGAGCTACGTGCTCTGCAGCCAGCCGGGGGCAAGGGGCGGTGGTGGTTCTTGTGCTGCCCCTTCCGGCTGGGATGCTAGAGGAAGAGGAGCCATTGTCAGGGAGGCAAGCTGCCCCAGGAGGATTGGCCAGTCACTCCTGCCCCTTGCCCTGCTGCTGCCACCGCTGCTGCTCTTCTGTAGTGCCCGAGCCAACCAGATACTTCGGGCCGTGGATGCTCATCAGTGCCATAGGTTGGAGGGCTGGGGCTGTGCAAGAAGCCTGCTTGGGCAGGGAGGGATGGACGCCCTGGCCCGCCCCTCCAGGCCAACAGCTCTATTCCCTTAGAAAGCGACCGCTGGGATCCCCTCTCCATGTCTTTGGGCACGCGTGCCATCTCCTGTTGTTCTAGGTTCCAGCTCATGCATGCCCTTCGGCCAGCCTGTCTTTGCATTTGCATGCGTGCCAGACACTGAAAGACTAGATGGCTGCCATGCATGCGCATGCTGGAAATCAAAAGATCATCTTCCCAGCACATGAAAGACCAGCTGGCCGACACACCAGAACCTGGAAGAGCAACGGGCGATGGCTCCATGTGCCCAGAGAGATGGCTTTGCATGCCACTTGTAGGGTGTTAGCTATTCCTACCAGCTTAGTATCATCCACAAATTTGGTAAGTTCCCCTTTTGCTCCCTCATCTAAGTCATTTATAAAGATGTTGAAGAGTACTGGGCCTAAGACGGAACCTTGCGGTACCCCACTGGTTACTTCCCTCCATTACCGAAGTACCATTAAGGACTACTCATTGAGTACAGTTTGTCAGCAAGTTACAAACTCATCTGATGGTGATGCTACCTGTCTCACCATCCATCTGATGGTGATGCTATCTATTCTACTTTTTTTCTAGCTTACCAAGAAGTTGGTTGTGGTCTACTTTGTTGAATGTCTTGCTGAAGTCTATTACAGTATGTCTACAGTATTTCACCGGTCTACTAATGTAGTCACTATGTTGAAGAATGAAATAAGATTGGTTTTGGCATGATTTGTTTTTAAAAACCCGTGTTGACTTCTAGTTATTACTTTACTTGTTTCTAGATGTTGGCAGACCTGGTTTTTTTTATCATTATTATTATATTTTCCAGTATCTTCTCAGGTATTGATGCCAGGTTGATTAGTCTGTAGTTTCCTGGGTCTGTTTTTTTTCCTCCTTTTTTGAAGATGGGAACCACGTCAGCTCTTTTCCAGAGAACTACTGGTGCTCCAGGATTTTTGAAAGATGTGGTACAATGGTTCTGAGATAACATCTGCCAGCTTCTTTAGAACTCTGGGATGTAATTCATCAGGTCTCAGTGATTTGTATTCATCAAGATCAGATAGGTGTTCTCTTACCATTGTTTGTTTAACTTTTATTTCTAGTCACTACCTTAAACCAGTGAGAAATTTCATCTTCAGGAGATGGCAAGGCAGTCTACATTTATGAAAACATTATCACATCAAACTGTGTTTCACTGTTTTCTTGCTCAGGTCATTTATTCAGTTATAACTTAGCCATGTTTAAATTATTGGTTGAAACTAATATTATCCAATGGGTTAGGGGCATTTCTGACTCTAAAGGATGGTTTTAATTTATCCTGAAAAAAGGCCACTGTGTATGATGTGTACAAGTTTTTTGAATTCCCTTTCTCGGGAATTAATTCCTCTTATGACTAGAATAAGAAACAGGCAAATAGTATGATTTCCTGTTTCTCCCTTATTTTGATTTAAATATTTCTGTCTTATCTTGGGTTCTAATTAAATATATCATCCCCTAACCAAACTCAATTTTTCTGTTATTTGACACATGAAGGGCTTTCTTTTCCTAATTCGCTTCAAAGCTAGCAGGATTTGTTTCTTTCAGGAATTCTTTGCTACTCTTCAGCACTTAAAAACAAATCTACAGAACAAGAGCATGCAATGTTGTACTTTAGAAAAGGGAACATCTTTGAGGATGCACAGACAAGACCAGAAAATTAAGGATTTGACATACAGTTTAGCCTGCAAAGAATGGCTTCTACAGGTAAGAAAAAGACAGGGATGGGCTTTTAAAGCCATTCTAGGAGCTTAGAGTGGCAGAAGAAAAGAGGCCAAAAAGCTTTAATAATTAAAAACTATAATCAATAAATGCCCTAGAGCGTATTTTGTGGATTTGCTATTCTCCTGAAGAATATCTTCCCTAAATCACTTTTAAAGCTGCTATTTTTTTTTTTTTTTTGCTATAAGAGAAGAACTTTCCAGGTTTTGGTCTGGCTTCGAGTTTGGGGTCTGGGTCTGTGTTCTTGATGTGTGTCAGCTTGTTTGGTTTTGGGGTCTGGGGGTGCAACGACCCAGACCCCAAACTTGAAGCCAGACCAAAACCCAGAATGCCACATCACAGCCACCCTCTCAGGATATCACATCAGAAAACTCAGGAAATTACACCACAAGAACTCAAGAAGTTGAAACACAGCAAATGACCCAGGAAATCACAGCACAAGACCAAGGATACCACAGCAATAAAATTCACAAGGTCATCACACAACCCATTACCCTAGCCGTCACAACACAGGAAGCTAATGGAAAATAGATAAAAAAACAAACGACCCAGGAGATTACAACGCAGGACCCAGGATACCACAACAAAAGAACTTGCAAGGCCATCACACAACCCATTACCCAAGCTGTTAAAACACAGGAGGCTAATGGAAAAAAGATCACTACAAAACAAACGACCCAGGAGATTACAGCACAAGATCCAGGATATCTCCACAACAAAACTCACACAGCCCATTATACCAACATCAACTCCATCAACCAATCAAGAGGCAGCAGCGCAGCCAACCAGCCCAGCACACCAGCCCCCCCACCAGTATTTATAGAAAGATGGCAGCTCCGATCGCACAGTGCTTACACTGGCACGAAGCAGAAAGCACCAGCCTGAGGATGGCGAGTGGGACCTCACCAAAACGTCACCAAGATACTCTTAATCTTACATGGGAAAAGACCTGAATACACCTAGACCTACATACCTGTACCCATGAAAATCTACAAAAACAAATATATACATACATACATACATACATACATACATACATACATACGGTATTCAGCTTTGTTCGGGTATTTTCCATGTCATTATAGTTGTGCTTTTAAAGTTGTAGCAACGTTTCGGCAGAATCTCATCTGCCATCATCAAGCTTCTGTATTGTGTTTGTCTGTGAGTCAGACTTTTACAGTTGTTTCAGTTTTAAATTTGGGGCCAGCCTCCTGCTGTGCCAGAATGGTTTTTTCTTCATCTTGATTGGTTGGGAGTCTTGGTCTGTGTTTATTGGTTTTGGAGTTTGCTGTGTTCTGCTTGATTGGTATTTCTAATATCTTCTCTCTGTTTTGTGGCTTTTTTTGTCTTGGTTGGCTGGCAACATTGTGTTCCTGTATTGGAGGCTTTTAGTGCAGCTTGGCTCCGAGTAAATGGATGGCTATCATTTGTTAGGAAGCTAGGTTTCATCCAGGTGCCTGGTTGGGGTGTGTTTGAGCTGGAGGTATCAGGGGGGATCTCTTTGTGCCCAGGTGTTTGCCTGGCTTGTGGTGTGGAGATTTTGTTTGTTTGTGAGTGCAGGCTTCCAAATAATTGACAGTCTGGTGGAATCGTCTCTTCTATTCATGCTTTCAGGTCTTTTTTCAATCTCTATGGCTTCTCTGATAATTCTATGGTGGGGTTTTCTATAGTGGCTAGGGTTTTGGTGCCATTGAAGTTGATGCTATGACCTGTGGCTTTCAGGTGTTGGACTAGTGAGGAAGTGTGTTCCAGCTTTTTTACTGCATTTTTGTGTTCATCCAGTCGGGTACTTATTCTTCTATTGGTCTGTCCAATGTATGTGGCCGGGCATGATGCACAGGGGACTTCATATATGCCTTGGTTTTCCAGGTCAATTTTATCTTTGGGGTTTCTAAGGATGGCTGCTATTTAGAAAAATAGCTTCCTAACAAATGATGGCAGATAAGATTCTGCCGAAACGTTGCTACAACTTTAAAAGCACAACTATAATGATGTGGGAAAATACATGTATGGTATTCAGCTTTGTTCGGGTATTTACACACACACACACACACACACACACACATATGTATATGTGTATGTATGTATGTATGTATGTATATACACACACACACACACACACACACACAATAGTTTGGCCTCTGTATCAGGTACTGGAATATGATAAACAGCAATATTTATCATAAAAGAGAATTTAGCTTCAGTTCAGCCACAGATTGGCAAGTAACATGATGAAAAGCATTATCAAGACAATATATTTTATTGTTTACTTTATTAAAACAATCATTCGGCTTGTATAAAGTTTGTACTCTTTCTCATACAGTTTTAAGAATTTTTGAAGAGATCAAGTATATGCACTGATAAGTATCTAGTAAACATTGTTTGATCGGACTTTAAAAAAAACTTGTAGTTATCAAAATTATAGTGATCAAGTAAGCTTACCTTAGAGAATGGTACTTCTTTCAAGAGAATAAAAAATTCACATTTTGAAGGCATTCCTTAATAACGTACATTAGGAGCAGTGCTTTTTATCTTATTTACAAATTATAATTAGAGATAGGAGTAATGTGCTAATATCTAATTACTCTGTTAGGGTTGTTAACCTGAAATGGAAGTTTGAAGTACTCTAAAAATGGGGAAATGGGAAGAACTGAATTTTCCATTGTATTTTGACAAGTATAGCCAAACATATAAAATTATTTGTTTCATTAAGAAATGTGTATGTATCTTTTTAAAATGGAGATTTCCTAATTATCCACAGAAATATGTAAAACTAGCAAAACATTTCAGTCACTTACAAATTGAAACTGTTAACAGTAAAAATAGTCGCTGTTTGTTTTACTTTACTTTTATTTTATGGAAAATATATTAGGTCCTGAAAAGACTATACGAAAAACAGTAGATACCCCTGATATCAGTAGATACACACACACACAATTTTATTTTATTTTATAACATATAAAATTCCATTTTCAGTTAAACAGTGTGTTGTCTGGGTACAAATAATTTTAGGAAATAATAATCAAAATGTTTACAACAGTATTCATTACATTGGTTTTAGTTCTATAATAATAACAATAATTATCATAACAAACCTCCCTTATAATCATTAGTCCTTTTCTTTTATTGACATGTTTCTAACTTGTGTTTGTATTAGCTAACCATTGATAAAATAAGTCCCATGTCAAAGAGTATTCAGTTTCTTCCTTTTCCTTATTTGTGTTAGTCTATTCATTTCTGCACATTCTAGTATTTTTAATCACATTTTCATCTGTAGAGATCTCTTTTCCATTGTTGTGCAAATACAATTCTAGCTGCAGTTAATATATGTAGAATCAAATATGTATTCCCCTTGTTATACTTATTCAATAAAATGCCCAACAGAAATATTTCTGGTTTTAAATCTATATGTTGCTTTTATCATTTTTGACAACCATATGTGTATTTTTGACCATTTTTTTAATTTTAATTTTTTGCTTTTGGGCATGCCTACCACATATGAAACATAGGAACCACGTATCTGATTACATTTCCAACATTTAGTGGATATCTCCTTAAACATCTTTGACAAACTTGTGGGTGAAAAGTGCCTTCTATAAAACATTTTCTAAAGATTTTCTTTACATGCAGTTGATATTGTTAATTTATAATTTGTATCTCACAATTTCTGCCATTTATCTAATCTGTTGTGTAACCAAAAAGAAACCCCTGATGCTTTCTAATAGAAGAAAATGTATACAAATGTATACATATTGATGATTCTGATATGCATTCTGTTATCCTAGGAATCTAAGGATCTTTTAGAGTATCATCAGAATTTGGACAAAAATTCTACAACTCCTGATAAAATAGTACAGAAATTGCAACAACTAATTAAAGACAAAGATGCTGCCCTGGAGGTACTTGCAGAAGCTTCTAGGAAAATCTTTTGATGGTTTTTTTTTTAATGTTTGGGATAGACTTTGAGGCAGTGTACTACTTTTTTTTGTATGTGGGATATAGGAATAAGATGTCAACTTAATTTTTTTAAGTGTGTTTCTCTAATTTAGAGATATGTAAGTCGGATTCAAAATGGAAAAAGTACTGTTGGGGTATGAACATGTTTACTGTACCTGCCAATGCTGCCTTAAAGAAGCTTCAGCTTGAATGGTACTAGTAGCTGCTTGATCCCAAGAAAATATGTATTTGCAACCTTCTCCTGTCAGTGTCCCCTTGAGCTGAATACGTATTTTCCTTGAGCCACATATGGAAACCCCAGAGAAAGTAAAGCTTATTTAAGAATGCCATGACTTTTGCAGCAAGATCTCAGTCTGAGTCTTTAACTTTTTGCCTCTCATTATTCATGCAATTCTTTCTGGGTGTGTGTGGGGGATTCTCTTGCAGCAAGCCATAGGGGAGAAGTTCTCTGCACTTGAAGACAGAGAACAGGAACTGAACCAGCTTTATTTGTCCATAAAAGAACAAGATTGTGATCTGAAAGGTCTACATCAAGTTATTTCTGGCAACAAAGCTACCATCCAGGTAAATTGCCACCATAAGGGTAGTTGTTCTGGTTACTTTATAGGCCATAGCTTTCTAATAATTAATGAGATTGAAAGTAAAATGCAGTTATTTTTGACAACAGTCTCTTGAGGTGAATCAAAGAAGTTCACACCTAATACTCAATTTTTAGATCAGTTCTACAGTATATAGAACTGATATATAGTATATAGGTATATCTTACCTATGTACAGTATATAGGTAAGTCGGCAGGCCAATAGTTTATCTGTCTTGGCATGCCCATCCTGACTGTGACGTTTTGTAAGATTTCAATACTACATAAAATTCCTTTTTTACTATATGTATAAATTATTTAAGATTGAATAAAACTTTGTAAGTTAGGGAAGTGTTCCTAGTTATTTTGGGCTGAACTGCCATGAATGCCAGCCAATATAGCCAATGGTTGGGGATAGCACAAGTCGCAGTCCAAAATAACTGGGGCATTAAATTCTCTTCTGTTGTAAGAAATAGAATTTCAGCTTGGGTGGGTACAGCATGTTTGCTTCATGGATAAATTTATCCTTTGTCCTAATATGATTAGCTTTAAAACTATAAAAAAGGGGTGGAATTAATACTATTTTGAACTTCAGGAAATTCAGAAACAGATTTGATTTGTCTTATCTTGAGCTATTTGTTATTCATGTTTACCTTAATAGTGTTTAGAGAGCTTGCTAAAAGCCAAGGACCTGGAACTGGAGAAGATGTTAGCAGCCAACCAGAATTTGCAATGGCTGATCAAGAATATAGAAGCAAAATCTCAGAAATGGCAATCTGAACAAGAAAGGATTATCCAGAAGCTTCATGACAGAAACAAAGAAGTAGAGGTAAGACTTGTGGTTCAGCTTGTTAAGAAAGAAGCTGAAGAGAAAGGAATGAACAATGACTTAGAGAACAATGGTTATCTTGAGATTTAGACCACAGTGGCTGGGGTGCGTAAGACATACTACCCCATTTTATTAAGTAGTTTTTGTAGTGGTGCAGATATAGTTTAGGCATTTTGCTATCTTTTTTGAGTATGCCGATGGAGCATTGTTATTAATGTTTTCCAGTTAGGGCAGCAACAAAGCTGTAGGGGATAGAAGGCTGATCTCCTCCAGGCTTATCTTTCTCTTGTCTCAGACCCTTTCAGCAACACTGCTCTGCAATTTGGAGCCTGGACAGAGGGACACCATAGAAGCCCTCCACCTCCACCTTCAGCAAAAAGATCAGATCATAAAAGAATTCCTATGGGAGAAGAGCCAGCAAGTTGTAGACCCAGTAGCTGAGCTTGAGGAGTTACTTCAAGCATGGAACACTAGAGAACAACAAAGTTATGTAAGTGGGATACTGTGAATGAGAAAATCAGTCTTGATTATAGAATCACAGAAGGAAAGGGGGAAAGGAATCTTCCACATGATCTAGTTTAGCTTCCTGCCATTTATCTTCCTCTATTGATGGCCATCCAGCCATCTTTAAACAAGATGGCCACTCTTGTTTGGATCTTAAGAAAACTTATTCATTGGTTGAGGAGCCTGATACAATGAAATCATAATAAAACCAAGAATCTTGTTTCACCATTATTCTATTCCTGGAGTATTCAGCAGAGGTTTCCCAAGTAGTCTTTTGATGGAATGTTCATGGGTCCATAGTTTGTCTGTCATTCTAACAAAATCTATTCTCGCTAAATGGGAATTTGATGTTATTTTATTTACTTTTTATAAAAATGCTTTTTTGTGAAATGAAGATTATTTTTAAAAAAATCTTGGAAAAACAAGGGCTATGCAATACTGCTTTTCTTCTTTTTGTCTACCTGAATGAAGAAGATGGATAGTGTATTTTCATCACCTCTCAAGAAAGGTACTGTGACTATGGTATCCATTCTAACTAAATTCTTTTATGTTGCTGATTTGATTATGAGGCATCGGTTCAAGGCCTTTTCTATTATTGTAATCAAAACATACACTGATATTAAAATAAATATTTTTAGGCATTTTGCAGCTTCTCTTTCATTTTTTGTAAGCTTTTAAATTTTTGTTCTTGATTGCTGACTTTTATTTTCCTAATAATTTTGATTTCTTTTAAATTAGTGATACTCAAAAATATTTTAATATTTTTCTGTGAAATTGCGAACAAATTGTATTTGTCCGGTCAATAAGTATAGGTATATATGTAAATATTATTGAACATTTTTATTGTGTGACCCATTATTAATGCTTGCCTTTCTCTTTCCTGGCCTTGTTGTATAATTAGATATATTCCAAGAAGATTGCACAGGTACTTACAGAGAAGAATTCTGAGCTGCAAATCCTGAATCAGCAACTGATTAGTCAAATTCTTCATCAGAAAATGGAGTTGTCTATTGTTCAGTTTGTACAACAAGAGGGCTCTATTGATGTAAGAGTATTTGGGTTTATGAGATAGCACAGTTAAACAGATGAATATCAGGCAAGCCACAGATGGCAAGAGTCAATAGCAGTAGTTTTGTTATACAGAGGTGAAGCTTGAATTGAAAGGAAAGAATGGCAAGGGCTAAACAAATGGTAATTAAAAATAGAGATCTGTGTCTAAGTAAAAATTTTGGGTACTAGTCAACATTGTTGCCCTTCAGAATGTATGTAGAATAGATGATTTGAGTAGTAATAGGTCCATCTTTGAAAAAGGGGAAATGCTATGTAGGTCTGTCACCTTCAATCAATAAAGGAAGCCTTTCTAGAATAGGCTAATAAGTGGTTGGGTTATGGACAGTGGAAACAGTACATTAATTCTTTGGAAATGGCATGAGCTTATCAAAAATAAAGTACACAAAACCAACTTTACAGGTAGTCCTGATTGTCAGTTCAATGATTGATCAAAGTTACGATTAGGCTGGAAAAAAATGGCTTACAACTGGTTCTTGATGTTAGCAGCACCCTGCAGTCAAATGATCAAAATTTGGCCAGCCCACAGTTACAGCTGCTGCCAACCATTTATCTTTAATAAAACAAGTATGCACATTTTTATTCTAAGGTACCAAGGCAAGAGGATTCTACCATGAATATCCCAGCCATGATTTCTAATAGAGATGATAGTAAATCCAGGAGGGATAAAGGTTGGTCCATAAACAATTTCTGAACAGTCTTATCTATCTGTTATATAATGTTTGTCTAAAATTGCTTTACTTTCTCTTCAGATGATTTGCAAACAACTGCTAGACTTGAGAGGGAGCTTACTAAAGCAAAAGAGGATCTTGAATTGTTGACACAAAAAGAAAGAGAAAGCACGGTAAGTTTGAGGAACCCTGAGATATCTACAGATCACGTTTAACACATAAAAACAATTTACTAGTAGTACAGGTAATCCTCAAGATATGACTGTAATTACAATTGCCCCTTATAGTCACAAGTGGTGATGGCTGTTAAGAGAAATGGTATCACTTAATGGCACTCACATCCTGCTCTCCCTGATGCAGCTGTTAAAATAATACATAGGTGCCTTAGGAGGTGAAGGAGTTTCTGAGAGATCTAGTGCAGTATGGGTGCTGCAGCTTAAGCCCAGGAAGGCCAGAGAAAGAAGCTGTAGCTACCCCAGTCTGGCCCAGCAGCACAATAAAAAGGCCTCTTGCCCAGGAAGCACAAAACACCTGGGAAGGTTCCACAGTGGGGCATGAGGCAGCCATCCCCCCAGAACAAAACACCACAGAAACCTGGGAAATGTGTGACTTTGCGTGGGTGGAGGGGGCTGCTTCTTACTCTTGAGTGTGAATGACTTTGGGAGTATAGCAGTGGCCATACATTTGAAACTAGATCAACTTTCAACTTTATTCGGTTCCACATTTCTAGGAAGTGGCTTTATTCCATACGTTGGCTTTAATATTCCAGAGACATAAATGGTTTTGTTTTTTATGGAGCACTTTCTCCAAGCCAGTTCCTCCTTTTATGAGACCCATAGAACAGTGGAATCTGCAGCTCAATTTTTAGCTTGGTTAAAATAGTGTATAATGCCTAACACCTGTTCTTCCAATCAAAGGAAGATAGCTCTGAACTCTTAAGACCATAGGATCCAAAATCCCATTATAGGAAAGATGATTGTGTTCAGAGTTTTGCAGTGATAATTCAGTGCCAGAAAAATAAACACAGATGGCTGATGCTTCATTTAACATCTTTATAAACATAATAAGTGGATTTTACAAACCAGTTGTAGATTTCTCCAACATGGAGCAAACTCAGACAGAAACATGTTGTAAGTAACTTCAGTAGCACACAGAAACAGACATCAGTTTCACTTTAGTTCAGCAGGCAAACAGAGGAGAGAAGCAGTTTCATTTTCAACAGACAGCCTCAGAGCTCAACATAGCTGCAGAGCTTAATATAGAGCCACGCCTAGACTACTTCTAGTTTCAGTTTTCTAGGCTACTTCTAGTTTCAGTTTCCAAACAATTCTCATTGGTTTAGTTGCTATGCCTATTCATTGGCTGACCTTGTTACCATGCTCTATTCCAGTTCATGAATATACTCTGACACATTGTGCCAAATGTTGGTCTATCAAAGGATTTGGGGATTACTGAGTACATTATCTTCATTTGTTTTCTCCCATCTCAACCCCATAGTTGAAACTCTCTACTCTTCAGTCTGTGGTAGCTTCCCAAGAGGAGGAGCTTCAAGTTCAATCCTCTGATATTGAATCTCTTACTAGAAGTACCCAGATCAAAGAAGAACTAATTAAGGTTAGATTGCGTACAAAAATATTTTCAGTTTTGTCTTCCTGCAGATTTTACAGTGTTTGTAGTAGTGAGCAAATTGCATTGATTTCCTGTTTCTCCGTCTTTGTTCCAGAAAGTAGAAAATTTACATTTTAATATTAATATATAGTTATAAACAGTATGATTTTAATACACCGCTCAAAAAAATAAAAGGAATACTTAAAACAACACAATGTAACTCCAAGTCAGTCAAATTTCTGTGAAATCAAATTGTCCACTTAGGTTGCAACACTGATTGACAATCAATTTCACATGCTGTTGCGCAAATGGAATACACAACAGCTGGAAAGCATAGGCAGTTAGCAAGACATCCCCAATAAAGGAGTGGTTCTGCAGGTGGTGACCACAGACCACTTCTCAGTTCCTAGGCTTTCTGGCTGATGGTTTGGTCACTTTTGAATGCTGGCGGTGTTTTCACTCTAGGGGTAGCATGAGACGGAGTCTACAACCCATACAAGTGGCTCAGGTAGTGCAGCTCATCCAGGATGGCACATCAATGTGAGCTGTGGCAAGAAGGTTTGCTGTGTCTGTCAGCGTAGTGTCCAGAGTATGGAGGCACTACCAGGAGACAGGCCAGTACATCAGGAGACGTGGAGGAGGCTGTAGGAGGGCAACAACCCAGCATCAGGACTGCTACCTCCGCCTTTGTGCAAGGAGGGACAGGAGGAGCACTGCCAGAGCCCTGCAAAATGACCTCCAGTGGGCCACAAATGTTCATGTGGCTGCTGAAACGGTCAGAAACAAACTCCATGAGGGTGGTATGAGGGCCCGACGTCCACAGGTGGGGGTTGTGCTTACAGGCCAACACTGTGCAGGACGTTTGGCATTTGCCAGAGAACACCAGGACTGGCAAATTCGCCACTGGCACCCTGTGCTCTTCACAGTTGAAAGCAGGTTCACACTGAGCACATGTGACAGATGAGACAGGGTCTGGAGACGCCGTGGAGAACGTTCTGCTTCCTGCAACATCCTCCAGCATGACCGGTTTGGCAGTGGGTCAGTAATGGTGTGGGGTGGCATTTCTTTAGGGGGCCGCACAGCCCTCCATGTGCTCGCCAGAGGTAGCCTGACTGCCATTCAGTATCAAGATGAGATCCTCAGACCACTTGTGAGGTGGTGCGGTTGGCCCTGGGTTCCTCCTAATGCAAGACAATGCTAGACCTCATGTGGCTGGAGTGTGTCAGCAGTTCCTGCAAGACAAAGGCATTGATGCTATGGACTGGCCCTCCCGTTCCCCAGACCTGAACCCAATTAAGCACATCTGGGACATCATGTCTCGCTCCATCCAGCAACGCCATGTTGCACCACAGACTGTCCAAGAGTTGGGGGGATGCTTTAGTCCAGGTGTGGGAGGAGGTCCCTCAGGAGACCATCCGCCACCTCATCAGGAGCATGCCCAGGTGTTGTAGGGAGGTCATACAGGCACGTGGAGGCCACACACACTACTGAGCCTCATTTTGACTTGTTTTTAGGACATTACATCAAAGTTGGGTCAGCCTGTAGTGTTTTTTTCCACTTTAATTTTGAATGTAACTCCAAATTCAGACCTCCATGGGTTGCTAAATTTGATTTCCATTGATAATTTTTGTGTGATTTTGTTGTCAGTACATTCAACTATGTAATGAACAAAGTATTTAATAAGAATATTTCATTCATTCAGATCTAGGATGTCTTATTTTTGTATTCCCTTTATTTTTTTGAGCAGTGTATAAACCAGACCTGTTTGTTTTGTCTTTAATCCCAGACCTGTGCTAGACTTTTAATTTGAAAGCTTTTTCTTTGAAAATTAATAATATCATTAAAGTTTTGAGCAATGTTGTTTTCCTCTGTCAAGATGCAATACTAATACTGTACCGAGTTTCTTTCTTAATTCTCCAGGACATATTCTTGTTCTTTTTCAGGACTTGCAGATGCAATTGATTGACCCTGAAGAAATACCAGCAATTGAACGACTTACTCAAGAAGTTTTGATGCTTCAGGAAAAGGTAGCAAAAATGGAAGCACAGGGACAGGAAGCCATAAGAGACAAGAGGCAGCAGGTAGGTGTCATATGAGGAATTCAAGCCAGCATGACTTAAGCTTCTGTCCTGCCTTTGTTCAAAGGAAATGGGATTCTGTATATTGTGTTATTATTTTTATGGTATTGCTGAGATACATTGAGAGCTACTTTGGTATACATCAGGCTAGAGATTATGAATTATTCCTATCTTAAGCACAAAGTCAGCTGGATGACTCTGGGCCAGTCCCTCTCTCATTCCCAGGAGGAAAGCCACAGTAAACCATTTTCAAAAACCTGACAAGAAAACTGCAGGAACTAGTTCAGGCAGTCACCAAAAGCCAATAGGGGACTTGTAGAAAACATAAATGTAAGCAATAAAATCTACATTTATTGCCAATTGAAGTGGACTGTTTATGTTGCAGCTACTGGTGATGTTGGAGGGCTTAGTAGCAGAGAAGAAGCAGCTGAATGAAACTCTGAAAGTAGAAAAGCAACTGTATTGCAATTTGGTGAAGTTTCATGCTCACCCTGGCAGGTGAGGAAGATAATTGATTCCTATTTTCTAGTTGCAAAAAAAGATTGGCATATATTTTCCTATTACTCATTGCATATTTAAAAAAGATTATTGATTGACAGTGCTGAAAAGGATTGGGGTGGGAAGTCTGTTTGTATGCCTATAATTTTCCAATCTTCATGTCAGTACAATAGTGACATTGTTACAAATTGTAGGATCCATATTGTGTTCAGAACAAGTTGGTACACCTTGTCCTAATCTCATTTCTTTTGTGCTTTGCCTCACCAACTCTAGACAAGAACAGATCCTTCAAGTAGAACTGGAGAAGATCCAGGCACTTCATGGACAACTAGAAAGGGTCCTTGGAAAAAGCCAGGAGCGCCTGAGCAGGCTGGAATCATTGGACAGCATAGGAGGTGGGGAACAACAACATGTGACAATCCTACCCAAGCATGCCTGCTGAGCTCTGGCCTTCCCACTACCCCTGGCGCAGAACAGAAGCTGAACTAACAGAGCAAGCTTGTTTTGACATTGAAGGGGTTGATTAGTACTTGCTGGAAATGGCATTTTTACAAGCTTATGTGGGCATCATTCACATTCCTAATATGGGCCTCTCAAGAGAATGTAATTTTTTTTTTACAGTTTCTTATTCCTTTCTAGTTGTGCCCAATTTCATTCTCCCCTCCCTTGAATTTGGCTAAATAAAGATTACTCCTTTCCCCATTTGAAATTAATTGTTATGTGCCATATTTTGTGTGCATACATTATAGAGATGTGGAGAGTAGGAAAAAGATTTTTTTTTAATTTGCTGCATTTGTTTAATTGTTTTGTTTTTATTTTTCCCATGCTTTTGTGTAAAAACTTCTTAAAAGTCTAGAATTTTAGGTCATCTTAAAATTACGATGAGAGTATTGTGAAGAAATTCCACACAAACTTGGCCACAGCAGAAACAGAATATTTCATGTTTTTAGTTATATTTTGTGGAAACTTGCAAAAGAACAATATATGTTTTATTTTATTGGTTCTCCTTGCATAAAGTGGAAGCTTTGGTTTTCTTGCCAAAAAAAGGTCTACTCTCAAATGTCAAAGTTATTGGGGTTACTTACCTAAGTTGGGGTGGATCCACATTCATTCCAACCACTTTCAGAATTTTTCTTAGGTCTTTAAAATAGTCTTTAAAATAAAATAAATTTGATTTTTTTGTGTGTTGATTTACATAATCTTCCCTTTCTTCCTAAAGTCCCTAATGTAAAAAAATATAGACCATCATTGAAATTTTAAATGATAAACATATTCTACATTGTATTATATTTAGATAATACAGGTTTAATGTTGATAACTTACGTTGGAAAGGAATGCTATCACATACATGTTTTCTCCAGGAAACAATAAGGTAATATCACCAAAATCATTAGAAATTCCTCATGATTTTGAATATTGTTACATACAGTTTTCAAAAATCACATTAGTGTTTCAATATTTTGTTTTGAATAAGAGCATTTTTCAGTCATGTATTAGTTTATATTAGAGTATGTTGTTTAAAAATGTGTTATTTCACATAAAACTTATTTGCTACTGAATTTCATTAAAACTTTGTATATTTTCTGGTACATAAAGGGTATCAGAGTAAACAAATAACATCAAAGTTTGCATCTAACATGAGATGTGTCAGTATAATTATTCCGTCTTCCCTCGTTCAATCAGTTCAAGTAAAGGAATATTAGGATCAGAAAGATATTCATTAAATCATTATGATTGATTTAGTCCACTTGATGAAAATCTTTTTCCTTCACAAATTTTAGAATACCGAAATCTGATAACAAGAAAAATATGCAAGGACAATCAATAAACCACCATCACTTTCCCCAGGTATATGAAATGGAAAGTGGTTTTTTCTGGGCAGAGATTCACAGTCTCAATTAGAAAGATCTACTGTTTTCTCCCAGCTCTCCAAGGAGTGCACTTACAATGGGATAATGGGGGACATTTGTTACTAACTTTGAAATGGCATAAGGTATTTTCAATATGCAGTGACATTATGTTCTCTGAAACACTCTGCTTTCAGGCATGCAATCTAATTGTAAGTTGATTGATTTGGCCAGACTTGTGACACCTTTGTTGCTTGTTGGTATAAATTTTTAATATGAAATTCACTAACGTGTGATGGGGATGATCAGTGATTTGGCTTTGAAAGAGGACAAGGCCTACAACTTTAAAGGTGATCATTAGAAAATCCATAAGTAATATGCCTCAGGAGCATGGGATGATGGCCTCTGATTTGCTCTGCTTATGAAAGCACCTGGTTGGCCACGCCCAAGACAGACATTTTGATGTAATCCTGTAAAGGACAATGATTTTATTAGTATTATTCATGAAGGCATACCAGCTCACTAGCAGGTCTTTATGCATACGAAAATATTCCAAAACCTTTAAAGTGCTGTAATAAGAAAATTCCCTGATAAATTACTGAAGGCTGATGAAATTACTGAAGGCAGAGAAAAATAGTCATTGTTTCAAACCAGAAGGCCTACTTAGATGGAAAGACTTTTGCCATTCCGTTGTTTCAGTTATTTATGCAACCATGCATGCTCATCTCTGACCTACATCTATCTGCAAGCATGATATTTGGTTGGAATTAGGTCAAATAACTTAAATTTACCATTTTTTCTACCCAGTTTATCCTCTGGCATGCTATTCGAAATGGAAGGGAAATTTTCACTGTCAAATGAAACAGGCATTGGGGTGGGAGATGCGGATTATTGGTTCCAGACTGCCAAATGACAGAGTGAAATCTGGTCTCTAGTTAACTGCATTCTCAAGAGATGTTATATGTGTGCTTAATGTGCTTGCTCTTTTACATATGCATTTATGTGATTCCTAGTAATACAAACTTGGTCAAAACTATACAGACATAAATTACTTTATAAATTTAGGCAGATTCTGGGGTTGGGGGTCTTATTGTACACGACCAAATAATTCTCTCTGAAATGCAGGGAGGGTTTTTTTTTCATTTTCATATTTCCTTTTATTTATTTCTACTTGATTTGTATCTATCTACTCAAAAGGATTTCTGGTGTCATGGTTCCCTCCAACTTCTGTGAACTAGGATATAGAATAAGAGGATTGGAAGAGACTATGGAGGATTTCTAGTCCAATCCCCATCTTGAGTAAGATACTTTATACCATCCCAGACAAATTGTTGTCTAATATCTTCTTGAAAATCCCCAGTGATGGAATACCCACAGTTTCTAAAGAAAAGCAATTCCATTGATTAATTGTTCTCTCAGGAAATTTCTCCTTATTTCAAGCTTGGTTTTCTTTTTAATGATCTTCTACCCATTATACGTCTTCTCCTGCCCTAAGAAGTTTTGCAGAATAGTTCAACCCTTTGTGAGAGCTTGTCAAATACTGGAAACCTGCTGTCTTATCACCTCTAGTCCTTCTCTTCATATATCAAATATCTCCTCAAATATCTTATTTAACAGATTTAACAGATTAATAGAGTTGGAAGGGACCTTGTAGTTCATCTAGTCCAACCCCCCCGTCCAAGCAAGAGACCCTACCATTTCTGACAAATGGCAATCCAATCTCTTTTTGAAAGTCTCAAATGAAGCTCCCACAACTTCCAAAGGCAAGCTGATCCATTGGTTGATTGTTCTCACTCTCAGAAAATTTGTCCTTTCCAGGTCAAATCTCTCCTTGTTCAGTTCCCATCCATTATTGCTTGTCTGGCCTTCGGGTGCTTTGAAAATAGTGTGACCCCCTTCTCTCTGTGGCAGCCCCTCATATATTAGAACATTGTTATCATGTTTCCCTGGTCCCTCTCTTCACTAGACTTAGCCATGCCCAGTTCCTGTAACTGTTCTTCATATGTTTTAGTCTCCAATCCCCTAATCATCCTGGTTGCTCTTCTCTGTACTTTTTCTAGAGTCTCAACATCTTTTTATAGTGTGGTGACCAAAACTGGATGCAGTACTCTAGATGTGGTCTTACTAAGGCTTTATAGAGTAGTATTAGTACTTCACTTGATCTTGATTGTATCCCTCTGTTGATGCAACTTAGGAATGCCACATGATACGTAGGACTAGTGGCCTTTCCATTCCTGGGGCTACAATGAATGTGAACTATGGTTCCCTAGTCTTATTTTCAATGGTTCTTTAGCAAACCTGTCTGGCTCCCCCCCCCCCCCCCCCCCCCCCCCCCCCAGTGGGCAAAAAGCGATGGGATTTTCCAATTTTTTTCAGTTGGATTCCCAATTTCTCTGCTAGGGAGGGGTTGATTAGGCAACGGGTGCATCCCAAATTCCAGCAGCAACTTCCTCCCCCTTCCCTCGGCTGGGGATAAAGAGTCTTAGAGGTAGAGTGATTGGTTCAATTAGGTCGCTTACCAGCGGGTCATCTTCTGGATTGCTTTGGGACTGGCTCCGGTCTCCTCGGAGCACTGGGTATTCTTCCTCTGGGTTGGGGGGGGGGGGCACCAGAAGCTCACAGCTTCTCGGCTTCTCAGACCAGTTTCCTTTCCTCAGGGGTTGGATGTTCCAGGTTTTCCCCCTGATGGGTAGTCTGGCTTTCTGGTAGGGGTTTTCAAATGGCATTCTGCTGTGTGGTGTCCTTCCTTTCCACACTTAAAGCAACCAGATGGTCTTGGGGTCATGGTGGTTTGGGGTTTGAAAAATTCTCGCTTTCCCTGGGGTGGGGATCTTCTCCAAAGTTTGCCACTGTGGTACTTTTTACGGGTCATGTCTATCTCTGCCTCCTCTGCCATCAGGTAACATTCATGCAAGAGGTTTGGGGCCCCACGGGCCAGGCAGGCAGCGTACAGGTCATCATTGAGTCCATCTTTGAACCAACAGACTAGGATATCTTCTGGCCAATTGACTCAGCCGGCCAGGTCACAACATTCCTTGGTGTACTCAGCTACCAGGCGACGGCCTTGCTTTACGACTCTGATGCAGTTGTGGGTTTTTCTATTGGTGAGGGGGTCTTTGAAGCAGTGGTATAGGACTGTCATGAATCAATCGAGGTTCCTCAGTTCTGGGGCATTGACATCACGTTGATGTTGTGGAGGGGCCAGGGTGATGACTCACACACGGGGCCCTTGGGTCAGGAAATTCCGCCTGTATTCTTGCATGTAGGTGAGGACTTGCATCAGGAAACATCCCAGTTTCTGGGGGTCTCCATCGAATTTTACCCCCAAGGGCGGGACCTTTCTCTGCAGTTGTATGTCTCTGGTTTAGCCAGGGTTAATCTCCTGCTCTGGGGCAGTAAAGGGTTGGGTACCTGGTATGGCTGCTAGTTCTTTGGCTTGTTCCACTGCCCGATCATTCTCAGCTGGATCAGGGGTGATGGCTTGGGCTCTCTCAATTTCTGGTTCCCTCGCTCTCCTACATTGTCTTCCTGGTGCATCCCTCACATTG